TCACTATGTTTTACGAGTTTCCTTAATTCCACAGAATTCATCCTGAGTAAATACGTTTACTCTTGGGCCAAATATATGAGGAAACTTTTGTGCTGTTGCAGAGCAAATTTGCTCAGCCTCACGCAACAACTTCCATTGTCCATCAGTCATCGTGTTCGTGCCAAACATTGTTGTCGTTGGTCTCCTGCTGTCTATTTCTCAAGCGTCCTCCACCCCTCTTGTTACAGCCCCTCAATGCTCTGCAGTGGCTCGGCTCAGACGACAGCAACCCGGTGAGCTCCATTATGAGCGGAAGAGGGTTTTATTGTTATTTTGTTTGGTGTGCCTTAACAAGCAGCAGCGGAAAAATCTAAATATACACTAATAATGCACGTTAAAAGTTACCAAAGTAGTAAAACAGTGCTGATCACACACAAACAAACACACTCCTGTCTAATAACTATTGTGTTACCATGCCTGGATTTGAGAGTACGCAGATGCCCCTTCACTTCCACTGTGCAGTTGTGTGAGAATAATCAAACTGTTAATAGCCAGCTGTTCGATCTTTAGACGGGGATTCAGTTGGAGATGAAAGTCTGACGTTGTTGCATCACTGCAATACCGCAACTCAAGTTTGGCATCCATCTGTGTTATCAGCAGCATTATTTTGTGTATCAGTCGTCGTGGCGCAGGGGGTGGAGCGGCTGCGCTGGGAACCGCAAGGTTCGTGTCCCGGCTGCCCCATGTCTCAAGTCGAAGTGTCCCTGAGCAAGACACCTAACCCCTAATTGCTCCCTGGGCAAAATGTAAAAAGCCATGGGTTAAAAATGTAATGTAAGTCACTTTGGATAAAAGCGTCAGCTAAATGACCTCTAATCAAAAATATCAGTACAAAACGGCAACAAAAGCTTTTCTGCCTATCTGGGACGGCAAGTTCATTTCACCGAGAAGTGAGGCGATGTTGCTGTGCCCATGCGTGTTGCCGTGCCCATGCGTGTTGCTGTGCCCATGCGTGTTGCTGTGCCCATGTGTGTCAAGGGGCTGGTTTTTGTCTGGTGGGAAACTTCCTCTCTGGAAGGCCCCACGCTGCGAGTGGAGTTTTAGCAGTCAGTTTCCTGTGCTCTCAAGTTGTGCACAACACATGTAATGTCTAAAAAGGAAAATTTTAATGGCTATGTCGAATGTTTCTTCATATTTCCCCCCAAAAAGGGCGTGGTGGTGAGAAGCCCATCCTGTATGAAGTGCAGCGTGCAGGAAGTAGTCCTAAAACTCTGAAATGTATTGATATTTAATAGTTAATTAACTATTAATGACTATGGTCTGTGTGTGTGTATGTGTGTATGGGGGAGTGTGCTGTCCTCGACCTGCGTTTCCTCTTGGCAGGAAACGACTGCTAGCTTACACTTTTCCTTATGAATAAACTACAAGTCTTGATTTTCTTGCGTTTACTGTTTTCACCCTCTGCAGTTACTCACACGGGATTGATCGTTGTAAAACTGCAACAGACAAAACAAAGAGGTACATAAATACAACGTAAAACAATGTGGCACAAGGATAGCATGACACTGAGAGCTAGCATAGCTTAGCTGCTATTCTAGCTGAGAATTCCCGTGACATTTATATTATGAACATAAATTAGACACACTTTGGAAATTTATACAACAACACAAAATATGCACTTACAGACAAATAATGTCTTAAGCTCCCGTGTGGAAGAAGGCTCTTCAAAGGACGAAGAATCCATCTTACAGCAAAACCAACGTGTTATCAACTCAATAAAATGAAGCAAGCCTGCGTTCCCTCGTGTGGACTTCCCATCAGGTGGCAGTATTTACTCATCTAGACCTACTACAGCTACTAAATTAAGGTAGGCATTTCTTAAACAAGGCAGAACACAGAGTACAAAACGAAGGAACAACCTAAAAAGCAGTGGATCATCATCAAAGCCCACTGGAACTTTAGCGAATAAAATACTGTCGCCCAACGTTACTCCTGGTGGTGAATTCAAAACACAGGGCTCAGCAGTGTGGACCATCCACGACACAGCAGCAGAGCCACAGCTACGACTCGGGGAAAACGTCATCCCCGGCTCACAAGGACTCCTTGCGGTTTCCGTGGGCCGCGTTCAACGGGGCACCAATGTGGTGGTCTAAACAAAATCTCACACTCGGGCCCCTGAGGGGAGTTGCTGCGATTTAAATCAGTTTGCGCTTTTATTTTTACATGTAGGCATCTACCCCCCCCACAAGGTGAAGTCCACCAACAGTCCAACAAACAAAAATATTTTTAAATAATATAGTATACATGCAGTTAGTCCACGATAATACATACAATGGAAATAAACGCATTGGCTTCTTGTAAAGGGAACCAGTGGATTCCAACTTGCCCACCAGCACACAAATGTTCATTCCCTCAGTCTGTCAAGCGTCGATCTCCTGAGAGTATTACAACATCACTTAAGGGAAAGTCAACAAGGGCTTTATTAAATCAACTGCAGGACAAACCACAATACGTTGCAGGGGTGGGTGGGGGTCCTACACAGACACATTGACTGTGTGAGCATTTGAGTCACAGGACAAATTAGGTTTACGGGATTTCTCGCCCACTAAATTTGGTAAATGGCTGCATCTCTGACTCTTGTACCCATGCATATCTCATCACGTAATATTTCACAAGCTTATGCAGGCTCATTATTAATTAATCATCATCAATCATGTGACTTACGGGAAGGCTTCAGCCGTAATGTATTGTACAATAACTAGACCAGGGGTCGTTTTTCAGGCCAAGGACCCCTAAACTGATGGCGAGATGGAGCAGGGACCCCTATTCTACAGAGTTTGGTCCACCAGCTTTTATTTTTGAGCTTCGCGCTCTTTAGACGTGAGCATAAAGGCGATCTGATTGGCTGGTGCCTGCGCTGTCGTATCAGCATGAAAGGAGCAGTGAGGGAACCGGTGTCCAGCTTGAGAGCTGCTGAGGGAAGCTGAATGTGTGCGTTGCAGACTGAAACATAACGTCTTCTCCATCAATTCATTCGTTGGCTACAACATGTTGGATTCATGTTAATGTGTATTTAAAGACAATAAATACAATTCTGATTCTGAAGACATTTAAATTTGTGGGAAAAAAAAATGTTAAGACAATTTCTTTTTTTCTTTTTTTTTTTTTTTTTATCAACCACAAATCTTGCGACCCCCCTGCAGTACCTCCCTGTTGAAGACCTCTGAACTAGACTATTAGCTTAGAGGTGGATCCTGTTCTGGATCACACATCTCTTTCCTGAGATACACATGCATGTGAGGTGTGTTTCTGCATCACAACACACACTCACAGGTATTTGTCCATACACAATCCGTCTGTCAGTTTGTAGATTAATCATCCCGAGTGTGCGGCATTGTGCATCTGTTTTCATACAAAGACCTTCTAAATGCCTCCATGAACTCATTAAGGAAATTCTGGTTCACAGAGAACTGGGACTACAGCCAGAATAATATTGTTAGAATCTGTTAGGGATTTAAGCCAGAAGTGCACCCCTAGTCAGGAAATTATAGTACGTGTAATAATGTTTAGAGTTAGAATTATAGTTTGTGTGTTATTAGATATTAGTTATTATATTAACATATTAGATGAGGTGAATGCAATTTGAATCAAACACAATTCATAGTCATTTAAATCGTATAAACACTGTCTCATTCTGTCTCAATGTGATGTTAAAACCTGGGGACGGATGCCAATTGCCGTCCTTTATGGATTTCTCCCAATTTTATCCCCAAAGAGGGTTTTTTGGGAGTTTTTTCTCCTGTCAGGTAATAAATGAACAACTTAATGTAAGGCAGCCGACTGAGGCAAATGTCTTGAGAATTGGACCACATGAACTGTCTTAGATCTTATGATGAAGTGTGATGAACGGGGATCATTAATGATGGGTTGTTGTAATTAAAGTGTACTAGTTATAAGATGAAAACTTAAACGATGTATGCTTTGTTAAATTCACTCATTGAGGCATAAAGCCAACTGAATCTACATTGAGTGCATTGGAATGTGAGGGACAGATAGTACAGTGAGGTTTCAGGTTACAGCTGCAGCTTCACACCTCGACGTGAAAGGGACAGTCCAGGAGGAGACCCTTTGAAGAAGAAGCCAATGACATTCAAATGCACCAAGGAAGACACACCTCAAGAGTTTTCAAAGGACCAAAGCGGGGAAAAGACTGTGACTCCTGCAGCCGCTTTGATAAGTCACTTTAGACTTGCTCAGAGGATTCTCTATTTCGCGAAATATTTTACTGTTCGCTTAGTATTTCACTTTGTAATTGTGTCCCTTGTAACGTTGTTTAGTTATAAAATACTTTTAGATTTTTGAATTTAAGCAAGCTGACTCTTTTGATTCTTCGTTTCCGGCCGGGACTAGAACAAAGGAGTGAGGCCTCCCTCGAGGGCTTTCCGAAACCCTGACAAATCCACATTCATCATCTATAAAAAGCCATCCTGCCATACCAAAGCCAAATACCATCTTTGAACCTACACACTGACTTCTAAGGAAAACCCACAATGATTAAATGTTCTGAGTTTCCTTCTTTTTAACCCCGTTGGGGGCCCTCTTGTTTTTATCTCTCTGTAAATGGTGGACTTCTCGGTATGAATGCCTGTAGCATACATAACTTCCCCCAAGTAAAAAAAACTGTCTTTTTTTCTCTGCAAGTACCACGACTGTTTCATGTGACATGCCCAAAACATTTTGTTCACATTTCAAACTTGTGTTGGCTTGTTTAGTCATTGTGATATTTCATGGTCCGATGAAAAGGAAAACCCAGCATAGTGTCAGGCGAAGTGCATTCAGTTTCTGTGGTACAATCATGACAGCTGGCGGTTTACTTTTTCCATAGATATTTTGTTTCAGTTTTAGTTTACTTCTACCCCGGTGAGTCCTACTGGTCATGATGTTTGGATATCTTTGTTTTAAAAGTTTACTTTGAAGCATCAATACTGTAAAAAGAAAAAGGATTTATTTATCAGTAAATATACTGTGCACAGAAAATATTGTTTTTTATCTTCCAGATAAAGTCTTAGACAATAAATCAGCAACAATGATTTAACCTGCTGTAATTCAGTAAAAACAACTCGCCACACTATGTGACACTTGATTGTTTTAACTGAATGTAAGTCATGCTAACTAGCTAGCTAGCAAACACAGGAACGGTGGTAGCCAAACCGTGGCCGCGCCCGTCTGTAACGTAGCATTGCAATGACTGGTGGGTAATTCCCTCTAAAAGACCTCAAACACAAACTCAAACCCTTGCGTAGTTACCAGCAGCGCACGTCGTAGTCTATTGAGTCTGCCAGGGGGGAGTTTAAGTGCTCATAAACAGTATTATCATAAACATCTCTCCAGCTATCTTGGATTTTAAGGAGGAAGAAGAAGAAATCTCACATTATACAGCCAATCAATGTAAATGTTTCACATATGCTAAACGTACCCTTCAATGTTCAATCTTAAGTGACTGTGTTAAGGTACAAGGATCGAGATCTCGTTTGGGATCTGAGGTATTGACGTTGAAGTTGTAGCTGCCGCCGGCTACGCTCCTCATCACATCATGAACTGTGAGCCAGAGAGGTAGCGAGAGTCCTTCCAGATGTTTGTCTCCCCACAGTTGGTGGTCCTCCTCTTACACTGGCAGCAGCGCCTGTACTGTGCCAGTTTATCTACCAGTAGCTCACCAGCAGACCTGCCCACAGGGAGACAAAGTGAAGCGTGAACGATGTGGTCGGTGCTGCACCTTTCGGGTGGGTCAGTAAGTCTGGGAACGGTTTACTCATGATTGGGTGAATAGATCTTAGATGCATGCTGACGGAGGTGAGCCCACATCCGCGGACCTGAGGAAGCGCCTCTCCTCTTCCTCTCGCTGGTGTTTGAGCCCTGCGTTGCGACTCCACTCGTCCTCCAGTGACTTACTGATGTCCCGCTTCTTCTCAAAGCGGTTGATGTGGTCCTTTGTAAACCTGGAAAGGAAGAACACCAGAAAAAGATTTACCATATTTTCATTATCCTCAATGCTACACATTTATTTAATTCTACTCCTTTACTTACTCCATTTTGTTGTGTTTCAGAACTTCTCTCTCTCTCTCCAGCTCGGCGAGGCGGTTGTGCAGTTTTTCTTTCTTCTGCTGAGCGGCAGCACTGAAATTGACTTCGAAGAGCTGCCAGTAGAATAACATATATACATGCTTATGTAAAGTAACGTCACATCAATTTAAATATTAATTGAATCAATTTAAAAAATAAGACTGGCAATAACAGCACTTATAAATAGTGTCGGCCGATGAACCAAGAAGGCTGGAAGTATTGTACTTTACGTCAGGTCGCCTCCTACGTGAGCTGTTTGTTTTGTCTGTGTTTTTTTGTGTTTCTGTGTTTTTGTGTGTCTGGACCAGCCAGCGCTCGAGGTGGCGGGACGTCAGCACTGAGGTGAGAGCAGCGGCCAGATGCTTGACATCATCAATCTCCCACCTGGCGCTGCCTTCCCAATCGGGGGAGGCATTTAGGATCGTCCCTGCCGGATTGTTAGTCTTGTTTGTGAGTGAGACTGCCAGCTCTGATCGGTGATAGCGATTATACGTTCGGCTGTTATTTGTACTTACCAGTATCCTGTTTATCCTGTTTATTCTGTTTGTCCCGTTGTCACAATCTAGGCACCTGGTGGGTTGTGTTTTCCTGTGCACTCACCCGGGCACCTAGCCACATTTTTCCGCACCCCGTGCATCCTAACAACCTGCACCTCACCTGGGATTCCGGACCGCCATCACCACCCGGTTACTTGTTTTTTCCGTTATTGCCCCCAAGAAAATAAATCCTTTGTTATTCACCTTACTCGATCTGCGTTTGGGTCTGTTCCGGTGGGGAATACCTGACACTTCAGGTGAACTTTAGGCATTAAACATTTAACCAACAAGTCAAATCTGACTTATTTGCAAGTTTAAGTCTTTCTACTGTATATTTAGTATTTTGCTACATCTCAAACAGCTTCAAGACTATTGCATGTTAATGCATCAATAATATTAATCCAAGACTATATGATCACAAAATCTATTTCTATTCATTGCTATTACTTCTTTTACTTGAGTAATGGATCTGACTTCCTCCACCACTGCAGACATAAATACCAAATTTGAATTGAATTATTTCTCGCGTCTGCACAAAAAGGAAACAGCTTTATGGCAGCAATAGCAAACAGCACTGACCTTCTGTGCCCTCTCACGGCCTTCTGCGTTGTTGGCTGCCGTCTGGCAGCGGTTGAAGCCGGAGTCGTCAGCTTGACACTCAGGAGGATCTGCGCACTTCTTATCTCCAACCTGAATGACAGAACACACTTTCTGACCCACAAGATCAAAACTAAGATGGAAAAATGTGTTTCTGGCACCCGTTCCTTGTTTTGATAAAAAAAAATATTTTTATATATTTAATACCATAACATAATTCTGTAGACCAAGTAGTAGATGAAAAAAAAGATGTGACAACCAACAACAATTCAGGTGACATCACAAACATCTCACAGCTCCCTCTGGAGGCACGAAGAACTCTGTATGCCTTTAAATAAATGACGTAATCTTTATTACCAAAAGACATAAAAGAATTTATTAAGAATTTCTATTCTAATTTCTAGTTTAATTTTTTTGAAATCTCTCTCTTAAAAGTCTCGCAAGCAAAGAATCTTTGTTTATATGAACCCAGTAATTGAATAAAACATGGCTGTTGTAGAATAAAAAAAGAATCGGTGCTGGTTTATTTGAAGGCATGGTGCACATCTTCTTGGGCTGCAATAAACCAAGTCACCAGGCGGTGATCTCACAGTGATTGCAGACGTGTGACAGTGAACGTTGTGAAGTATTTCCTTGCCTGCGTGTCCAGAGCCCTCCTGTAATGCGTAGTCCTCTCGTGTTTCTGCTGGAGCTGCTGGACCTTCTGCAAAGCTGCCCTAGGAAACACACACACACACACACACACACACACACCACTAAAACACTTGTCACAATGAATGAATGAATGAACATGTCAATTTCCCGAGCAGTATATAAGTCACTCACTCCTGGACGAGCTGGACCTGGTCCAGGTGCTCCCCGAGCAGCCGGCTCTGCTGGTCCTGGGCCTCGCGTTGCCGCCGTGCCTCCATCTGGCTCTGGAGCTCGTTCTTGTACAGATGTTGCTGGATCCTCCTGGCGGGTGTGAAGGGTCGAGCCGGGAAGACAAATGAGGCCTAAACACATTTTAACAAGCCGTTGTTCCACCAAAAAGATGCAGAAGTGTGAATTAATCTTTAAAGGTAATACGCCTTTGGATTTTTAGGAACTCAATCCGTATTTCTCATACAGATATTTTTCTGCAATAGTCTTTCCGTGTATTTACTTTCGTTCACCAAAAATGTGTTCACTCAACAAATGTAAATGCAACAGATGCAAAAGTTGCTTTTCCTCTCACAGGGAGTTTTATCCTACAGGACTGAAATCACACAACTCTCAAATCAAAAATCAAGTTCTACTCACAGGGAAGAGAGGGCAGCGAATCTTCTCTTTCTTCTCCGACATTTGCAGGTTAAATGTTGCAACGTGCTTTGCATGCTTACGCTGCTCATTCAGCGTCTCCTGCCAGTCAAACACAGACCACATCGCGTTGACTGAGGCAAAGCAGAGAAGATCCCCATTGCAATCTTGTAACCAGTGGCCACTACCAACCAAGGGCCAGCAAAGAGTAGGGAGTGAGGAGCAAGCAGGCAGTCAATGGCACGATAAGACCATAAATAAAAGGTGTTTTGAGAAAGTGTGACTCGCTGCAACAAGAGGTCTTTGAGCTTTGCCATAACTGGATTTAGGAAGTAAATTATGTTGAAACACACAGACGATCACATAATGCCTGCTTCAGCTAATAACCTAATGCAATAATGGTGGCGTGCCTAATGGCTGAACGTAATTGCGAGGTATGGCTGTATAGGCTCTTAGGAAGTTTTAGAGTCATAGTTGCATCCAAAGTAAATGAGAAGTCTTGGTCACAGAGTTGCCTGTGGCTTTGCAAGTTGAAGAGTCAGCTTGAGCTATAATCACGTAGCTTTATGGGGCTTCATAAACATATAGAGACAAGAGGAAGGAGGGAAGGGAAGTAAGTTAAAACAGGACAGAAATTTTGGCTGAGCTTAACGGAACACAGTAACACAAGATCGCCTCAATGTAGCGGTTCCGCATTCGGATTGGCGCATTGCACACACAAACAAGTCTCTGTTGAAAACACAAACAAGTCTTGCAAACACTCAGACACAGCGAGGCTACACAAGCATGCACATGCACGTGCACACACTTGTTCTTGGTCCATGCACAGCTTGTCTCTCTGCTGTGCTTTCAGCAGTAAGAGTTTCTCCTGAGTCCTCTCCTCTGCCTGCTGCAGCCCCCTCAGGTAGACCGGAACATTTCTTTGTGCCCGCTGCATACACAGGTAGCACAGTTCCTAAAAGGACAAGTATGACAATTTTACACACTGATTAACCAGTAACATAAATATATAAATGTTAAGATGCTTACTAATATAAACACTTTATAGGAAATGCGTTCTTTGGGTTTTATTGTATCCAGATGTAAGAACTTGAACGTAATTATTATACACTCTACTCTAAATATATCAATAAAATCCCCGAAAATGACATCTTGTTTCACCAAGAAACTGAATCCGCATCTATAATGGAGTGATTGGGGAGATCTGCACGTACACACGGGGTACACACCTGTCCAGCGCGGGTGTGGCCGGAGCAGCTGAGGGTCAGGTGTTCGGGAGTGAGCGCTGCTGGTGTGACGGAGGTGCTGCGCCTGGGAGTTGAAACAGATCCTTTACCTCTGTGCACTGTTCATTGTAGAGGGGGCAAGACTGTGAGTGCAGCTTTGTGCATTTTGCGAAATATTATATTCCGAACCCTTAACAGGTTCAATCACAAAACAACCCTTTTAGCAGCGTTTGCATTTGTATGAAGTATCACATGGGGCCTTGTTGCATCATGGACATGTGCCTGAGGTGTAATGGGTGCTCTAGTGACTGTAAATCAGCTGACGCTCAGCGGGTCACCTGACGGTGTGGATGAACTTTGGTTTGGCTTCAAAACCAGATAAAAAGATAACACCAAGAGGTGATCCCACTGTCCCATTCTCAATTTAAAAATTGTGTGTGTGTGTGTGTGTGCGCGCTGACAGTAAAGGTGAGGTGATGACAGAGGATGAATCTGTCTCACGGGTAGTTATGCATCATTAATGAAGCTGCAAGCTACAATATAAGACCACCTCGGAGCTCTCAGCTCACGATGACTCATCTCCCTGCAAACAAGAGCTCTGAGCTCTGCAATCCGAGCCTCTCAATAGGCCGGTGGTCCGTCGGTGTCTTTGTGTGTGTAGTACTTGTCTGTGGTCTGCGTGGGGGGTTTTGCTTTCAGTTCTTCTGACAGGCGGACAGCTTTCACCGTGGCAGGCTGCAGTGGCTGATGGGATTTAACTTCTCTCTGTTGGGGAACTTCTGTAGGGACACACAACACTTTGAGGGGGGTCACTGGTACTCCAGCTGCACTTCATACAACAGCCCATCAAAGCATGTACTCTACCATCAATCTCGTATCTATTGGAACAATAAACTTGGAAAATTTCTCCCACGTGAAACTTTTGTACGATGACACGCGAGATTTAAATCAAGTTCTTTATTATTAAGCTTGAACTTGTCCAGTCCTGTAGTATCCAGCTGTTTATCCGAGCTGTGCATTCATATACATCAACAGGAATGGCTTGAGTTACTTCTGTAAAACACAGCTTCCTTACATGTTACTTGAGAAGATCAAGACCAATTGCTGTGTGACGAATACAAAGATGAAGCCAGTTAGCTTAGCTTAGCATACAGACTTGAAGCAGGAGAAAACATCTGCATGAGTCCTAACATTAAGTTTGCCAAGCAAATATTAGAGACTCAACAAAATCACCGCTCCAACCAAGAGAGACTTTAGCCCACGACTCGCTGTGAAACCACACGTTGAACGAAGAACTTTCTCACTTCGTCCAACGTGTCCATTTGTGAGTTTAGGAATACAGTAGGCGAAGTGAGTTGTGTTTGAGGAGAGCAGCTGTCCTCCCCTACTTCAAGCCTTGATGCTATACGCTAATCGGCCTATTCTGTAGCATGTTTAACACTCATCTAATATTTCTGCAGGAAATCCGATAAGCTGAGCCTTGTGCCCATAAGCTCTTTCACCTCCTGCATTCCTCTGGTCTGGAGCTGGTGACGAGCACCAAGCGTCTTTGTCCCCGGCTTTGTTGTCCGGCTGAGGAGAGCAGACAGTTGGCAGGGTGACGGGGTTGGCGGTCAGTGTCCTCTGAAGCCTGGACGGACCACCAGACAGTGAAGAGCCACCGCTCTCGGGTCTCTGCAAAAGTTCATTTATTACACACGCGAACACGCAAACACACGTGTATGTGTTCATACCCACATTGTTAGACAGCGGCCGACCGGTTCCACCCGTAGCATCAATAAAACCTCTGCTGAACTTCATCCGCACCTTTGAGCAACAATCAAACGAGGTTACGTGCGGCAGAAAACCAACAGCGGCCGGAGTCCCAGACTGAGAAATGCAAATGAGCAGCTGAGCCACCTTGTTGTTCTTGAAGGACAAAACTCCAATCCCCTGGAAGGTGAGGAATATGTCTTGTTCGGAAGCCAAAGCTCTGAAGAGGAGAAGAAGAGTTTCTCTGACGCAGCCCTCCACTACGTCTCGACTGAATTGAGTCCCTTGTGACACGGCTGCAAAGTTCAGTTGCACCACTGGCAGTTTAGTTGCTGCAAGGGACACACACACACATACATACAGAGAATATTTGATCATTTTCTCCATATTTTTGTTTCTTTTTTTTCAGATAAATCCTCTAAACACATGCTCACCTGCAGCCAGTGGTCTGACCTGCTTTAACCCAAGAGACTGGATGAGTCTCCCAGCCAAGAGAAAGATGGGTCGTTGGGTCGTTGTGCGCTTGTTTCCTGTGTCCGACTTCTGCTGAGAAAAGGTGAAGGTCCCCAGTCCTGCCAGGTGGACCCCCTATTGCTCAATCAATTAGATGGATGGGTTAATGGATAGATAAATAGATAGATCCATCTATAGATCCACAGATAAACCCACATCTTGGATGGAGATGGTGGAGGGATACAGAGATAGATAAATGGAAAGAAAAGGCTCACCTTTTGTATGGTCATCTGACGTTCAATGTAGGCGGATACCGCAGCCCAAATGCATTGCACATCTGAAGAAGAAGAAACAACCTCTTTAGCTGCGTATCCACTGGACACATAAACCAGCAGCAGCTGAATAAACAGTTTACCACGCAGACACAAACACGCTGCGCCGCGTCCGTCTGACCGTTTAGCAGAGAGCTGGGGGAGAGTTTGCAACGTGCGCCCGCGCGCTCCTGACAGCAGCCGCAGAAGGTCCGACATCACCATCACTGCGCGCACCTTCCGCACGCGCGTCTCTGCCCCGCGGGCGAAGACGCGCGCTCCTGACCGAGACCCCCCCCCCCCCTCCCCCCACCCCCGACGGAACGCGCAGCCGCGGGTTTCAAGCAACGACACGCAAATAACAACAAACTGAGAGCGCAGACACGCAAATGACACACAACTAACAATAAAGCAGTTTCACCGTGTAGTTGCCAGCGTTACAATGTTGGACACACATTTGACAAATAGTTGGAAAGTCTTTCATTATTATAATCGTTCCCGAGAACGGCCCCCTGTAATTGGACAGGCGGAACGCTTAAGACGTGTTGGAAGGAGCGCTTGTTTTTGTTCGAGATCCTCTTTCGTTTTCATTTGTGGGTCTTTGGCGCGAGGGGTTTTCATCATGTCCCGCAGCGTACTGATGCTTCTGATCGTCCTCACGTCATTGACAGGTAAGTCTAAGTCTTTATAAGTAGCCGCAGGTTGAGTAATGTTGAGTAATGCAATATCTGCATGTGGTGAGAAATATGAAATATTCAAGCTGCCCGTGGTGAGTCCATCTACTCCACTGCTGAACTTGAGTAATTTACTTTTTACCCCCAGTTTTATACTATTTCGCATTTTATTCTATTTCAGAGCGGGACATTTGATTCACTTCACTAGCTTATGTTAACAGATGTAAAAGACAAAATACAAAGGAGTGTCACTATAGGTTGCACCAAATTTCCACCAAAGAGGCATTGCCTCTCTTTAACTTGGATGAATAATCGATTACCCGGAGTCAGAGGGCTAAAATTATTTATGATTTCACAAAAATGGAAAGAACCTTTGTTAATGTTGTAGAACCTTTGTTTATGTACTATTTTCCAGAATAAGTAATCATGTTCCGTCGCCCAAAAAATGACTTTGAGGCACATTAAGGTTGGGAACCACTGGAGACCACCATCAAAAGCTAACGCTACTAAGTACAACCCTAAAATACTTTTTATCCGTATTAACATACAATGACGTGATGATGATGAGGTGATGTTGTTTTGCGCATAGATATTTTTCACTCAAACTGTTTGATCTTAACTTCTTTAAATTAGTAAACTCTGAACATAACATATATACATACAGTACAAGTTATTTTCTAAAGAAAATGACGTGGCAGGAAAACCTTAGGGGAGGATACTACTGTGTAAGTAGTTAAATGCTATTTTCAGTTCCTGAGAGATTGAACTCTCAAAGAACACTGCAATGATGAGTGCAACATCAGTCACACCCACTGTGGAAATGTTCAGAGCTTTGTTATTGTTAGGGTTAGCATGTTCCCCATGTTGTGGGTGGGTCCTCCCCCATCCTGAGTGAGATCAACACGCCACATAGTTCTATCAACTCTCTGGCCTGGGAATTATCTATTATTAATTATTAATTATAAAGCTTGAGTGAATGTCAGAGCCGCATATTCCAATCAATTGAAACAACCAAAAGCCCACTGCTTTCATTTAAGAGAAGCATTAAACAAAATAGCAAATAAGCGTTTCTTATGTGCTCTTGTTTTGCTTATGAAACTGGAGGTAGGAGGTGCGGACTGAAATGAAAATAGGTGCACTGTTCTTATTTAAGTTTCACTTTCACAGGTTTCAGTTGAAAACAGAAAGTCCAGTTTGTGCCTGACTATAAAATCATTGATTAAAAATGTTTTTCTTGACCTGACATTTAATAGAGCTATTATTAGAATTTATTGTGTTTAAAGCTTTAATTGCCTCATTTAGCAGACGAGGACGGAATGTTGGGTTTTATGGATTATCTGACACAGAACATATCAATTATTACCTTCCTCAGCATGGGGGAACCAGGGGGTGTTTGGTGAGAGCTAGAGGTGGAGGTGGTGGAGGGGCCGTAGGAGAGAACGTGGAGCGTGGAGTGAGTTCGGTTCCAACAATGAGCCGTTCTTTCATGTATAGTCAGTGAACGCCATGCGAGGGGTGGAGGAGGAAGTGGAGGAAGTGCGTCATCATTCAGCCTGTTCCCGTGTGGAAGCTTACTGTTTGCACAATGATGTTCTTCAGCCACAATGACCATGATCTTCTCTCATCAAGAACAATCAATCAGAATCTCATGTCCCGTCATCATGCTTGCTTTGAGAAGACAGCGGCTAGGCAGGCGGGAGGGGAGGTGGATGCTGGTTGCTGAAATGTGAACTGGCCGTAGGTCAAAGGAGGTTAAAGGAAAGGAATATCATGACTGTACTTCAAAGGAAAAGTTTGACATTTTTGGTACTTGCGCTCATTCTCGTTGTTGAGTTAGATAACAACATTACAACCATCATTTCTGTAAAGTCAATATGAAGCTAAGGAGATGACATGGCTAGCCTAGCCTAGCATACATCCGGTAAACAAGGGGAAAAGGCTAGGTTTAAGGAAATAAAATATTCAAATGGTTGCTTGGCAACTCCACACTGACAATAATTTTACATCATAAAGTGATCAAACTATTTGTTCCGCCCGTTTGCAGGCGTGTGTCCCAGCAGCCTCGAAGAGCCATATGTCAAGGCAGGTGAGATGGTGGCGCTGTACTGCCCTCAGGACAGTGGTTCCAGTCATCCTGACGCCAAAGTGATCTGGATCAGTTACACCACCCAGGAGAGGAACCTGACCCACACGTCCCCAGCTGAGCAGAGGAAGATGGGGTTGGTGGTGCATGGGAGGAGCCTTGTGATTCTCAATGCTTCTCGAGACCATCAGGGGAATTACTCGTGCTCTCAGGGGTAAAATATGAACAAGAACAACTACATATCTTGACACACAACATGCTGTTTACGTGCACAGATGGGGACTATTTTTTCTTTAGACTACTCAAATGTGATACTCAACGTTTGGTGGCTACAACTATTTTGTACTGAAAGGCAGCTATTCACTTATAATTTCGCTGGTAACCGTGTTATAAAAGCAATAAGGTACTTGAGGCAGTACTTTATCTTCAATAATGTAACAGTTCGAGGGTTGCCGGAGGGTCCAGGGTTACTGGACGATAAAGGACAGCCTCTCGTACTTTATTGCTCTATCATATCATATCATATTCTGAAATAATATGTAGAAATATGTAGAAACATAAATGTAGTCAATCAACTACAGGTTTTATCCTTAACTTTAGGCTTTCAACATGTTGCTTGTTTTTATTGTATGCTATATGTATTCAAACATGAATAGTAATGTTAGCCGTTCTGTGATGATGCTGCTTTGGGCTAAATGCTAACATCATTACCTTTTGAAGGATTTGGTCACAAACTAATTCGGACCATTGATGAAAAGTAATGGAGTCATCTTTGTCTGAACCAAATGTCCCAGCAATCCATCCATAGGTTCCCAAACCTGAAAACATTTTACTCAAAACCACAAAATATGATGGGAGAGGTAAATCACTCTGACTTGTGCAAGGTAGCGTGCTCGTCCACATCTTCATCCCTCCATGAATGGTGCAAATGGAAATGTCACAAAAAGGCTCAGATTTCAAATTTGCATTTTGGAAAATGATCCTCTAAGCCAGGGGTGTCAAACTCATTTCGATCGGACGCGGGCCAGACCATCAAAATCACAGGGGGGCGGGGGACGGTACAGGGGGGACGTGCAAAACGAATCGATATAAGAGAAAGACACGACCAGCCTGTCATCTGTCAGAAGCGACCGCACATGCGTAGGGATCTTTGTGTTATTCTCACAATAGCAAAGTCATCCAAATTCCACATGGGACATCTTCATAATAACCTTTTCTTTCATGACTTGACAGGAATGCCAGCAAGCAGTTCTGGTTCATGCTGATCGTGTGCACAGCACAGTCCAGAGAGAACAACCAGAGGACCCGGTACCCTCTAATATGTTCCCTGGAAGAGGCCTGCACATTGAATTGTCCTGAGGTGAACGTACCTGCTGCAAGCATTACAGATATTACCAGCAAAGGCATCACATGGCACAAGGTATGTGAACACAGCCAACGATTCGTTTGTTTGAATGTGGAAATAAACGGCTGAATGTTTTTCTACATTTGAACCTAAAGCTGGTTTGCAGTGATTTCAAGGTTTAAAATAGCATTTTTTATTCCATATCGTAGGAGGGAGAGTCCTCGCGAAGACATGACCACTTCTCAAGCGTGGAAGAGAAGGACCAAGGAGAATACACCTGTACCAGGTCATACCTGTATTATGGGCAAATATACAAGATGACCTTTACATTGCTTCTTATAGTCAAACCTAAGGGTGAGGAAAACATTTTTTGGATATATTTATTGTCATAGACTTTAATATGTTTTATTTCTTGTTAAATGTTTTCCCTTTGTCTTGCACAGAAAAATCTGGTCAATCAATGATACTCTCACCACAAAGAAGTGGTGTACTTACTGTTGCTCTAGGTGAGTGTGTAGCTACATACAACTATACACTATATACATTTCGCTATAGCCTTCAAATGAACTGTTGTACAATGTGCTTTTTCTAGGCGCAACAGTGGTGGTGGGTTGTGAAGCTGTTATGTATTCAGACTTCGACGAGGTGTTCTGGTTAGAAAACGGAAGAGAGGTGGAAACGAACAACAGCTTTCCTGTTTTCTACAATGACACACGGTAAACAGTGTGGAAGTGCAAATGTTACGTGGTCCACACACACTTCTCGTATCAAACAGTCTGGATATTCCTTCTATGCTTCCCAGGGAGAGTAATGCTTCAGTAATAAAGATGACGGCATCTCTGGTCTTCAAAAACGTGGCAGAGGAGGATTTGTCAAAATTGTACACCTGCAGACTAGAATCTGTAACTGGACCTCAAAGCTCTGTCACCATCACCTTGGCCCGGAAAGGTAAACAAGACGGAATGGTAGAGCGTCGCCTGTGCCTTTGTTTTCTTACTGTTTCAGCAGTTTATTGTAAAGCTCAAACCAGGTCTGCTGATGTTGCTGCTGTATCTAATCCACACGTTCAAATTACACGGACGTTACACGGGGGTCTGCTACTTTGGATAAAGTTATGTGTCCCTTACATCCCTACAGCCGCTCCATCCTCCATCTCGTTGGCTCTCGGCATTGCGGCTGTCGTGCTGGTTATTCTTGTGACAATTGCTGTTTTGGTCAAACTCAAAATGGACACTTGTACACTGTGTGGTACAATTTGTTGCCATCACAAACCCTCAGGTGGGATTCTCTTTGCTTTTGATACACATACTTTTGTGTATACGGTGTAAATTGTTCTCTTCACAGATTTGTAAGCCCCGTTGTTCCTACCAAAGCTGTTTGTCGCTGTTTGCTTAGGTGGAAAGAGCTATGACGCCTTTAGGATGTCTTTATGATGGTGACGTCCTACCGGGGAAAGGTACATATTTCAGACCTATTCTGGATCTGGTACTGATTCAGGCTCTTGTCATCTCCTGCCTTCACTACTGTAACTCTCTCCTGGCAGGTCTCCCTTCTACCGCCATTCCACCTCCCAAGCTCATCCAGAATGCAGCAGCTCGACTCAACTCCTCCGCTCTCTTCACTGGCTACCCACTTCAAAACATTGGTGCTCACGTACCGTGCTGTGAATGGATCGGGTCCAGTTTTCATCCAGGACATGGTCTAACATCCCGACCCGCACTCTCCGCTCGGCATCTGCAAACTGCTCGTCCCTCCCTCACTGAGAGCAAAACACTCGACTAGATCACAACTCTTTGCTGCCCTTGCTCCGAAATGGTGGGACGAGCTCTCTTCCGCCGCAAACTGAATACACACCTTTTGAGACTTTATCTTGACTAAAAACACTAAATGAATTGTAGCACTTAAATTTACTTATAATGGCACTTATCTATAGCAAGTTGTTTCTTGTTTCTTGTTCTTTTGAGTTTGTATCTCTATGGATGAAAAGCAGTTATTGTGGGCCGTTTTGGATAGAAGGTGTAAGCTAAATGACGTGTAATGTAACTTTTTAAAGCATTGACTGTTTTAATAGTTTAAAGCATTCTTTGGATTCACAATTAACGATAAAATAGATATTAAAGATATTTGTAAAATCGGAAAGTCGTTGCTCCATTTTTGCTGAATAAGGGAACTATTGTTGGCATGATGAGGTCATTTTATATGTTAACTTGTTGGATGCTCTTCTGCCACCCAGTGGAAGATTCCCTCTCATAGATATCTGGTCAGTTCTTAACTTTGATTACGAATACAGGTCAACGTCTTGACAACATAAACCACTGTGTGATGCAGTTGAACAATTATAGAAAGTAGCTTTCACGTTCTATTTGTCTTGGTATTTGTTGCATACAGAAAAACATTAAGAGGAAATAAAATGCAGACAAATGCTGCAAAAGTCCTCAGAATAAAATATGCAAAATGATGATACATGATTAAGGGATAATATTGTTTGTGCTGCTAAAAACAGGCCCTGCTAATGCTTTCACATTGTCCAACGCATGATGTATAGCTGCTTTAAGGTTGCTTCTGTCAGCTGGTGTGTGATTTGCTGGATGATTTGACACTTCCACATTTTGAACGGAAAACACAGCGTGTTCCATTACAGGGTGACCGACCCTGCGTTTTCTAAGCTTGCTTGAGTAATCTTGAGACTGAACTTCAGGCTGTGCCTGCCTTTATACATCGCTTGTGAGTCACTCAACTTAGAGGAAGTGCAGTACTGCAGAGGTAACCCTTAAATAAATCATTCTTAGGAAAACAAAACAAGTATTGTCCTTTTTGTGTGCCAGAGATGTTTCTCTGCAGAAACCTGTTTTTCATCTCAAATTTATGACAATGGCTGCTAAATGTACAAACTATTAAATCAGTACCATTTTCACACTTAGGTTGAGCCACCTTGCATTTTAATTGCTTATAATACATCTGGGCTAAATAGGATTTTAATGCAGGTTTCTTTCTTGCAATGGAACATCGCTTTCTTCTCAATATTATACTGCTACTTAAGTACTACTTCATAAAAGCAACAGCAAGTTGCACAAAAGTACTGATACTCTATTTAATGAAATATTAGAATCCACTTTCATTGAAATCCCAACATAATTTCCATCTCATCAATGCCTCTCTTTGTCTGTCCTTCTCTGCATTTATTCTATTTTGGCTGCTTTTTACCTTTCGTCCATTCTTTAAACGCCTCTGTGTTAAGCCGCCTGTAAACCCAGAGACCTTTTCTCTCCACAGCAGCAGGAAGATTGTCAGTGTGAACTTGTTTTTTTTTGTACAGCTTCTTCTGAAAGATGACGCAAGTCCCCAGTCCCCTGTCACAAGGAGCTCATGAGTCAGTCACTTGTTTCCTCGTTTTTATAACCGAAACGGCTCGCACACGTCCACCCACAGGACGCATCTATGCAGGAGGCCCCTGCCCTTTTTCCAACTGTCAGTTCGGATGACCCAAAACTACAAAAATGTACATGTCGAGGACATATCTCGTCATTAATCATGGAAGTAAATGATATTGCCTATCACCCAAACATTTGTTATAGAGATTATGTGATGTGTGATGTAGAGGTTTGAGGAGCCTGCACTGTGACGCTCTTCCTTAAGTTTCGCTTTTCATCAAGCTTGCCTGGACCGCGACTTCAACGACACTCTATGCTTTGTTGTGCGACAGCGCATGTCATCACGATGGTGCAAGTACTTCTGCTCCCACTGTTTTTACTCCTTGCATCATTAACAGGTAAGAAAATGCTCTTTGATAGAACTGAATTATTTACAATTATGTAACGCGTATTAAGTAACAAGTTGTAGTTATTTATGTATGTGTAACGCTGGTTAATGTACGGGTATTTTGTGATTAAATTCTATATTATCTATAAATATCTACTTTAAATCTGCATCTGCAAAATTACAAAATTTTCAAAAGTCACTAAATGAATGTATTGGAGTAAAACGTACAAGATGGAAGTGTGAAATAGCAGAAAACTGAAATAAAAGTGCTTGAGAAATTACACTTGGTGTTGCATTGGGGAAAGATCATCATAGATATCAAAAGTTGTGAAAATGCTTAAAAACGTTAGCTCCATTCCCTCTGTTCCTTTTATTCCACCAACCAGTGCTGACCTCCAAAAACTCTTTCTTCACACTGAAGTAACAAGACCAAAATGCAAAGAAAATGGGATGTGGTGAAGAGTCCTCAGCGTGGTTTCATAACGGTCGTATCTGCCAAGCTCATCTTGTTCTGCACATGATCCGGCATGAGGCACATAAAATATAACTACAGTATCAACTCTATTTAAATAGCTTAAATATTGCCTGATTGAAGATATTATTTAGACTTGAGTAAAATGTTCCTTAACAGACTTCTGGATTATGAGATTAAACCCGCGAGCTACCAGGTTCAATGGTCAAGGTCCAGAAAGTGAACTGAAGCATTACATTTAATGCCTATTTAGTGTACACTTTCCGACCACACAACCAAACTTCGATGTTCTCGTGTTGCTTGGATCTGGTTCAGAAACGAGTTAAAAACCAAGCATCCAACCCGTTTGGCTCATTAGGACCGACGTGATAGTGGTACTGGACCAAGCCCAGTCATGTTATAGCTTTACACAGTCAAATCAATTGCAATCGTTTGCAGGCGTGTGTCCCAGCAGCCTCGAAGAGCCATATGTCAAGGCAGGTGAGATGGTGGCGCTGTACTGCCCTCAGGACAGTGGTTCCAGTCATTCTGACGCCAAAGTGATCTGGATCAGTTACACCACCCAGGAGAGGAACCTGACCCACACGTCCCCAGCTGAGCAGAGGAAGATGGGGTTGCTGGTGCATGGGAGGAGCCTTGTGATTCTCAATGCTTCTCGAGACCATCAGGGGAATTACTCGTGCTCTCAGGGGTAAAGTCCAGCAGGTCCTACAATGGAAATAACTTTGTTTGATTTCATGATATTGTGGAGTTGCGTTCGCCTGGCCTCACAGGAGGCGTTGACTCTCTGAGTCTGATCCTGTCTCTGCACATCCCAAACAACTAAACCACACTCTCAAATGTGTCTCATGGGAAACAGCTTTCACCTTTGATTAGGACAGCAGTTTGAAACACTTTGAAACATTTCCCTGTAGATTAACAGTTGACAGTAAGCGAGTAGGTAATGTCAGACAATGATCACGTCACGAGACGCCTCCTTTGAGGGCTTCATTCTAAGGTTGAAGGCAACATGACGTGACAGCAGAGCCGTTCTGTTCCCTTGATGTCTAGAATACAAAACTGTATACACAATGAATTATTGTCAGCAGCTTGTAGTCTGCACAGAAAACTCTCCCCAAGTGAACCTGCAGGCTGCTGAGATGTGGGGGTGGACCCCTCTAGTGGGAAATTCTGACTCCAATTTGAACCCATTTGATAAATAGGTCGCTGTATATATCTTTAATTCCACTGAAGCATACTAGTTTTGAGTCAATTTGTTGTGTTTTTAATTTAATCAGCTTCATTTTGGAAGAGAATGTGATGCAGACCTCATTCCCACCAAACGTTACTAAAATGAACTGATCTTCTAAGCCGTCCCCACAAATCAAAAAATGATGTTTAAATTCCACATGGGACATCTTCATAATAACCTTTTCTTTCATGACTTGACAGGAATGCCAGCAAGCAGTTCTGGTTCATGCTGATCGTGTGCACAGCACAGTCCAGAGAGAACAACCAGAGGACCCGGTACCCTCAAATATGTTGCCAGGAAGAGGCCTGCACATTGAATTGTCCTGAGGTGAACGTACCTGCTGCAAGCATTACAGATATTACCAGCAAAGGCATCACATGGCACAAGGTATGTGAACACAGCCAACGATTCGTTTGTTTGAATGTGGAAATAAACGACTGAATGTTTTTCTACATTTGAACCTAAAGCTGGTTTGCAGTGATTTCAAGGTTTAAAATAGCATTTTTTATTCCATATCGTAGGAGGGAGAGTCCTCGCGAAGACATGACCACTTCTCAAGCGTGGAAGAGAAGGACCAAGGAGAATACACCTGTACCAGGTCATACCTGTATTATGGGCAAATATACAGGATGACCTTTACATTGCTGCTTACAGTCAAACCAACTGGTGAGGAAAACACTTTATTCTTCGAATGGTCATCTTCGTATGTTGGAGGGGGAGATGTGAAATGTTTTTTCCTGTTTTTTTGGCACAGAAAAAGATAAATCCTCAGTGATCACCTCACCACCCAAAAGTGATGTTTTCTATGTAGAGTTGGGTGAGCTTCCATCTTTCATGCAGAACAAACACACACTTGGAGACTCATACAAGCATTTACTTATTTAATTCAAATTTCAAATCTTGAGGAAAATTTGCTTTTTCCAGGCACAACCGTGGTGATTGATTGCAAGGCTGATATCTATTCAGACTTCGACGAGATCTCCTGGTCAAGAGATGATTCAGGCGTGGAAAAGAACAACAGCTTTCCTGTTTTCTCCAACGACACACGGTAAACATTTCACACGAGTGTGGAAAAGCAAATGTTTTAAATGGCTACACAAACGTTTCACACACTCCAAAAATCCTTTCTTTCTTACTTATTCATCTTTCCATTCCAGGGAGAGTAATGCTTCAGTAATAAAAATGACGGCGTCTCTAGTCTTCAGAAAAGTGTCAGAGAAGGATTTATCAAAAAATTACACCTGTAAACTGGAATCTGTAACTGGATCTACAAGCTCTGTCACCATCACTTTGGCCCAAAAACGTATGTGAGATGAACCCACTGTGTGTTTAAAACCTCCCCTTAAATATTACACCTGTTCAATCTGCTTCTGTAGATCTGTAGATGTACTTTTCCTTCTGGGATAATGAATTCATCGTTTAGATCAGATTCAGGTCACTGCTAACCATTAATGGGTGTTTAAATGAATACTGTCATAGATTTATTCTGGCTGTTATTTCCCTACAGCCCGTCCTTCCTACGTTTCCCTGGCTCTCGGCACTGCTGCCGTTGTGGTGGTGATGGTTTTGACAGTAGTTGTCTATGTGAGGTTCAGAATTAACATCACTCTTTTCCTAAGAGACGGTCTTGGCTGCCATAGAAGCACCTCAGGTGGGATTCATGTTTTTGTGTCATTGTAGCTAAGAAACTCATGTTTAAAGGCCACATATGTGGACTTTGGACAACATGAGCGCAGTGACAAATCTGTGTTGTTTCCTCTCAGATGGAAAGAGCTACGACGCCTTTTTGATGTGTTACGAGAGTTACACAGACAGAGGACTAAATGAAGATGACAGAAGGTGTCTGGAGAGTGGTTTGGAGGAGAGGTTTGGTTACAGAGTCTGTCTTTATCATCGCGACGTCCTACCGGGGCAAGGTACGTATTTCACACCTATTCTGGATCTGCAGAGGATTCTCCATGAAGCAATGCATGATCCGAACTCGGGTTTATTTGCAGCTGCAGCGGAGGCCGTGCTGGACTGTATAGACCAGAGCCGGGCGGTGGTTTTGGTTCCCACCTCCTCCGACCCTGGTCCAGAATCCGGCCTGCTCAGTGCCATCCATGCAGCCCTTGTGGAGCGGCAGGCTCGCTTGATTTTCATCCAAACGGAGAAAACAGAAGCGCAGGGCTCTGGCTCGTTGCCGGAGGCCTTGCACCTCCTCGGCGAGGCTGGAGATTGTGTCACGTGGAAGAGCACGAGCTCCACGGCGCATTCTTCCTCCTTCTGGAAGCAGCTGCGTTACTACCTCCCGGCCCCGCAGGAGGCATCACCCATAAAGCTTTTACCCTAGACAGTCTGGGATGTAATGTCTAACCAGAATGAACAGCTTTTGTTTTTTCTGTTTTCAAGACAAGACGGTCATAAATCTTTTTTCATTTTTTAATTGGACTTTGGTGCCTTAATATGTAACGGTAACTCTTGCCTTGTTGAATTGACCACCAGGAGTTTCCCTTTAGGTCTGACTGCTCATGCAAAGACATATGAAGCCATTATGAATGTAATACATGAATGTATAAACATGTACAGTTTCGATTCATCATTACGTCCGTGTACACTGTTACTACTCACATATCCAGTTGTTTGACTAATGTTATTTAATGAATGTTAAGGTATTTCCTTACATGGGCTCATTAACTACCATCCCTGATATATGTACGAGGTAATAACTGTATTTTAGCTCTTTATTATGAGACAAGGAAGGTAAAAGGGCGGCCCCCTGTTAAGACCCAGGTTAAGGGGCGGAGCTTATAAAGGGGGGTAGAAGCTCACCTGGGCATTTCATCCTGGTGATTCACACACCTCAGACCAGCTGACTGTGAAAGGCCCGCTTCATTTTACCTGCCTATAAATAGGATTGTAACACTGAATATATTTGAAACTATTACATTTTCCTGCTTGGTGTGGGGAAATACCTCAATCACCAGCTGGGGGAAGAGACCGCGAGTGCAGACAGGTAGACTCCCTAAATGCAGGAAATGTTTGCTAAAGTCTTCTTTTAAATAATAATGTGTTTCTTTTGTTTGACACTGGGGACGACCACTGTTTTCCCCTGTTGGTAGGCCTTTTAATAAGCCAGTTGCATTGGGCCTTTTTATGTTTCATTTTCTTGTGGGGCTGAGTTGAAGGGAGTGACAGTGATAGAGCAGCCATATTGCATTTTTTTCGCTCATTTGAGGAGTTCATTTAATAAAGTGTTTTCACCGTTTCACTATAGTAGTCTCTACCTCCAATTTTATTCTGGCTCCTGTGCGTAGAATATCACAAAGTCACAATTATTAAACATGTATTGCTGTACCACTGTTTATGTAAGTGTCTGTGCAAAACATTAAAGTAGATTTGAATTTATATTTCTGCTTCCATAATGATGCTTATATAATGTCAGTGAAGGCTGGGCAAATTAATGCTGAATTAAATAGGCATGTAACTAGACAATTGTTTGCTTATTTACGAGAATTAATTAACAACTCGTTTCCACAAAGTGCCACAAAGCGATGATACCAATTTACCCAACTTGGCATTTAGACTAAAAGCAACGTCACAACATTTCTGTCTCTTTTATTTCATCGTTGTTTTGGTTTCAGGTGCAGCTTCCCGGGTCAATGTTCAATTTCTCATCCAAAAGCTAATTACATTTTTGAAAAAGCTTTCTGCCCTCTTGTGACCAAAACCTAATTATGATAGCTTTTATTTATTTAGACCAACTTTATTAAAGTGTAATGAACATTTCGATCATTGTATATTGATCATCTAAGTTTGTGACTCCAGACGTGGAAATCAGTGTAACATGTCAGCTGGGTTCAGCTGCAGCGATGAAAGATAACAGATGAGTCTGACATAAGACAAGGCTAAATATATTAATATAATAGTTATATATACACATTTAATGTGCTGAGTATCCTGACAATACAGTTTCCTTCCACAAGAAAGTAAAATATTAATACCAATACTTGTGTTTTTCAAACAGGAAGTGGTTAGCAATTACAGGAAAGACGATATTTGAGCAGTTCTTGTAAAAGCCTTTTCAGTGGTGACCAAACAGGAAATTCTGCTGCTTACTTAATCCACGTGTCCTGCAAAGATGTTGCACCTCATGTTGAGGGTGATATGGTGCAAAACAGTGTCTGAGAAAATACCAAGAAATCCAGATGTGGTTATAAAACCTTCCAATTTAAAGAGGCCCCACCTTATCAGTATCGTCGCTGCAATTCAAGCGACGTCAACAGATAAGTGACACAGGATGCAAACTATTCGTATTTTCTTTTCTTTTATCTTTCCCATTTTCTCGGAGGAATGCTGTGGAGGCCGGCCTGAGAGAAAAACAGGTACTGTGCTTTTGAATGTGGGTTTGAAAGAAAGCACGTATGTAATGATTAAATGTGTCTTATCGGTCTGACTGTGCAGCTGAACGAGACGCAAACCGGCACTACAGAGCTGTGGAGGGGGAAATGTTTTTGATGCCGTGCATCGAGTCTGTGAGCAGCCACAACAACACGGTTTGCTCCGCGGCCGGAGAAGGAGCTGAAGGCAGGTCCTTCCACTGTGGGACCAAGTTCTCAGTGGAGGCGAAACATTCTGGAAAATACACGTGCAGGTAAATAATTGTGTTTAAATTTAGCTGTGTCCCAATAAGACAGATATCTTAATCTTTGGGGTTTATTTTTTCTTTTTAAAGTAGTGTTAACAGTCAAATTAACAGTTGATTTACTGCATTTCTTCATGAATAAAAAAGGTGACTGTATAAGTGGCGTCACACCGCTTTAAAATCTGTGTTTTCATATACTAAATAACAAATGAGTCAGTTTTTTTGCGTGAAATCAAATGTGATTGAACTTTTGAGTATCAAAGTCGTCGCTGTCCAGTGGCAGCAAGCTGTCCTTCCATCTACAGGTGGTGAAGAGGTCAGAGAGCAGTCTGGGATGCTTCCTGTCCGAGGAAAACAGTGTAGAGCTGCTCATTAAAAAAGGTGGAACGGTCCCCTGCCCCGGTCATACGTGTAGTAACAACACAGACACCATCTGGTACAAGGTGAAGAACACGCATGAACAGGATCATACGTCTCGGCCATGGAAACATTTAAATTGCTGCAAAAAGTCCCAGCACTTGTGTTTTCTCTTACAGGATCACAAAGCCGTGTCTGAGCAGAACAGAAAGTCTTGTCAGACGTGGAATGGAGCGCTGTATTTATGCAGAGTCTTTGCCCTTGATACTGGGGTATATTTCTGTGATCGACAAATACTCGAGCAAGGAGTCAACTGGACTTTCAGGAGGGCTGTTAACGTCACAGTCATACGTGAGTGTGTCTGTGTGACGCGATGCAAATGTATATCACTTTAATGTAATAAATTCGGTCCAAGTGTTTCGTCTCACAGGTGAATGTTGCTGTGTGTCAAAGCGGAGCTCAAGTCTTCTGTGCATGTTTCTAACAGTGAACTGGAGCGATTATAATGCAGATCTTTCCAACTGTATTTCCCGTGTGACCTTGTCTGTTTCCCGTCCAAACAGACAACGTCAGTGACCCTCCCACGATTCTGTATCCAGGTGGCAACGCGATACAGGATGTTGAGCTCGGTAAGTCTGTACGAGTGACATGAATAATCCCACAGCTGACTTAATAACTCAAAATGGCATTTCCACGAATGGTTTAAACAAGTTGTCCCTCAGAGGTAAACACTGTTGCTACTATAATCAGCCGGAAACTAAAACTGCTATTTACAGCGACAATCACGTGACGGCCTCATCTTTGTCGAAATGACATATTCCGTGCTAAATTATAATGTTTTGCACCTGTTCTAGGTTTACCTCACACGTTAGAGTGTAGGGTACGTTTTACTTTTGAGACAAAGTCTTCCAGGGAGGTGTTGTGGTACATGTGGAATTATGGCTGCAAGACGGAGAATATGACCCTGCTACCGACGGAGGAAGAGTGAGTACCTGCATCCCTTTTATTACGCAGGGCCAGTGATTGCTTGTCATATTATTGTAAAATTGTAAGCATGGTGTTTTAGCCTTTAAAAGTATTCATAAGGATTCAAAGTAGCGGAAATTCTTCCTCAGATTCAGACAGTTTCCCGAAACATCAGAGTGCGAGGTCTTTGGAAGAGTCCACATTGAGCAGGTGACTCGCCAACACTTGAACCAGAGATACACCTGCATCGCCCGCAATATTATCGGAAACAGCAGCGCCACCATTCAGCTCAAGGAGAAGACTAGAGGTACCGATGCTTCAATTGTCACCATTATATGTTGCATTCATACAACAGTTTATCATAACATTGCTGCGTTGCAGCTAAAATAAACTTCACATTGCTCAAAGTAAAAAGCTTAAGCGATACAGTGACACAAGGCCACTGACTGACATTTTCTGCAGGCAGTGATTTAAGAGACACAAACCAACATTTTTGCATTGACAGTGGATCAAATCCTTAATATGATGGGGATCACTCATGAATCCAACGAGATTTAGCATTTCACTCATTTTGAAATCTGACTCCGTTTTCATTGTGTTTTTCAGTAAACTGTTTACTATCTACCCGTCACAAAATGATAGAGGCAAAGCTATAGACAAGAAAGCGGCGGTCAAATCAAAAACTAAAGAGCTAAAAGACATGACTCTAAATGAATGCTACTGTTGCTCTCTGTCCGCTGTATGTGGAACTCAGTAACCTCCAACATACCTGCCAATGTTCTTCAACTCTTTGTCTACCGCTTAAATACTCAAGTGCATTATTGATGCGTTTAATAAAGAAAACAATGTAGATTTTTGCCTGTGTTTCAGTGAAATGGTCATCGCTGGTTGAGTACCCCGTTGCGTCCTTGCTGTTTGTGGCTGGACTGGGAATCGTTTTACGCGTAAAATGGCTGGAAATACAACTTCTCTGCAGATCCTACTTCAAACATAGAAAACAGGATGGAGGTTAGAATGCAGACACACACACACAGGACTACATGCATTTCCTGGTGACTTACCAACATTAACACAATGCCTGATCTGTACTTTTACCCCAACTCTAATCTCAACCTGATCATAAGATACATCTTCTCTAAGATGTATTTAATTTAGATTATGGGACGTGCAATTGTCCCTATTTTGACCCTTCACGAAAGTTTCGTCACCGCAATGTCTCTGCCAACTGTGCGTGTTTTAAACGCACACTCACACACAAACACACACACAATGTTGAGCAAAAACTGGTTGCATGCACACTCTGGATTGCTGCCAGCAAAACCTGCTCCTCTTCATAGGATGTGGTCTAACTTCTAGATAAACTCAGACCCTAACACGGAAATACTAACGTTGCTCTCGACGTCCCCCAACCCTACAGAGCTCTTTTAACACCAAGACTCCATTCAAGTCGGTGGAAAGATTTCGTGCAGTTTTGTTCCAATAAACTGGGGAATCAAAAGTCAAAGCGCACGATTTCCAATCAGGCTGCATATTTTCCGGCGCTTGTGCCATGTGCTGCCAGTGCTGTGGGTGGAGTCAGTGGAGTCAATGTGCTGTGTACACAACTTTACAGCCTTGTTGGGCAACAGCAACAATTACCCTCATCACTTCACTTTTAAGTGTTACTACATTTACATTGTGAAACAAAAGTCATGCTAGAAAAAAAGATGAATTTCTGTTTTGTTTCAAAATTGCCGTTCCCGTCCACCAATCAGATGAGAAAGAGTTCGATGTGTTTCTCTCGTGTGTGTGGAGCCCGTCGCCAGCGGAGGTGGAGGGAATTTTGACAAACAGCGATGAGGACGGTAGGCATGTGTTTAGTGCATGGTGTCTGCATCTTATTGTCATGTGACTAAACTGTGTGACGATATAGCAGTGCTTTCATTTGCAGCATGTTTAACTGGCGTGGACCCGCTGACCACTAGGGAGGGTGTGTGTACCCAGAGGCCGCTGGAAGTGGTGCTGCCCCGGGTGATAGAGGAGCAGTGGGGGTATCGCCTCTGTCTACTGGAGAGGGATGTCGCACCAGGAGGAGGTCAGAGGATCGTGTGTGTGTGCGTGTGTGTGTGTGTGTGTGTGTGTGTTGACCGCAATAGTTCCTGATGGTTTCTGTTTTTTATTACAGCATTTACAAATGATGTGGTACTTGCGATACAGAGAAGCCGGATGCTTATCTGTCTCCTGTCGGCCGACTACCTCTCCAACAGCAATGCTGTGTTTGTGCTGGAATCAGGAATCCAGGTAGGAATTACATTTCCCAGACAGCACGGGATTAGTTGTTGCATCTACAATTTTCAGGGAAACTCACTCTTCTGAAAGCTTTATGGGACTTGTTGCTTCATAATAGATAAAAATCTAATATTGATCGCCCATATTTAAGATATGGTGAATGATGTGGTTGGTATTTTTCCTTCAAATGTATCTAATCTCCACAGGACCAACTGTGTAATCAGACGTCTTTCTGGCGTAAGCGCATCCCAGCAACACAAGTGGGATTCTTTCTCATCCCTTCAATACACAGTCAGTTATTTAGTTAGTTAGTCCACTTAATAATCCCTGAGGGAAATCAACACGTCCCACACAATGCGGAGATGACGTGAACAGAATACCAGTGGTAAACCTGGAATTGGAGGTGTTCTACTGGATGTTGAAAAAGCCATTCAAGAGCTTTTCCTGGGTGAAAAAAAACAACTTGTAGCTGAGTAGCTTCTCAGGGACAAACGCGTTGTTTGTACTTCCCAGCATTAAATAAAATTGGTTGATTGCAACCACGGGGAAACAATCAATCCATGGATTCATGTACAACATTTGGCTAAAATTGATAATTTAATTTGCCATTGTGAGAATGAACTTCTGGGTTCAGTTCACTTTAACCTCAAATCCTGACAGGAATTGGCAGCATTACTTCCTTTTTTTTCTCCAACTGAAAAAAGCATCCAGTGGATGGAAGGAACTGTCCTCTATGTTGTGTTGAGTGGGTGAACTTATCTTGGATGACATAATGTGCATTACTTTACACCTCTGTTATTACCACTGATCTGATTTATCCATATCTTCAGGCTTTGCTGCAGAACTCTGCCCTGAAGCTCCTGCCGATATGGACCGGCAGAGCTTCAGCATCCCTCGTGCAGCCGGACTCCCCGCTGCCCACGCTGGTCCAAAGGGCCTTGAAGGTGCTACCTAGTCTGGATTGGACCTCTGCCCAACCTTCCACCAGCGGCTTCTGGAGGTCTTTGAGGAAGGCTATGCCTGATCAGAGGGTGAAGCTGGATTCACTCGCGCCAAACCAGCTCATCCTGACATGATGGCCGTTTACATCGCGGCCCGCTGCTGCGTTCTGCACAGTGAAGCGGTTTGCAGTTGGGGGGGGGGGTGAATGAAAACATGCGTCACAGTGAATCATTATAAATCATTTTCAAATGTGTGCGAAAAGAGTCACCCTTTGTCCCATGTTCAGGGCATTAAGTGGTCTGATCTTTATTTCCATCTGAACCAAAAGAACGTTCAGTTAAACAGCACAAACACATAAATGATCAACTCATTAGCATTAAAAACAATGAAAATATTTGCTATCGGATGTCTACAAATACCTTCATTAACCCCTCCCCAAAAAGGTGGATGCTATTAACAATTTGGGCATAAAGAAAATGTATGGCATGGGACTTTGTTATTGAAATACATGTTAGGGATTCAAGCAAGAAGTGCACCCCTAGTGGTGGAAATTATAACATGTGTAATAATGTTTAGTGTTAGAATTGCAGTTTGTGTGTTATTAGATTCTAGTTATTACATTAGCATGTTAGATGAAGTGAATGTAAATGGATCAAGCACAATGTAGAGTCATGTGAATCATATAAATACTGTACACATTCTGATGTTAAAACCTGGGGGCGGATGCTAATTGCCGTCCTTTATGGATTTCTCCCAATTTTCTCCCCAAAGAGGGTTTTTTGGGATTTTTTTCTCCTGTCAGGTAGATGAGCAACTGAATGTAAGACAGCCGATTGAGGCAAATGTCTTGAGTGTTGGACGACATGAACTGTATTAGATCTCATGATGTAGTGTGATAAACTGTGATCATTTATGATGTGTTGTAATTAAAGTGTACTAGTTATAAAATGAAGACAAACTATGCATGCTTTGTTATATTCACTCATTGAGGCATAAAGCCAACTGTATCTACATTGAATGTGTTGGAATGTGAGGGACAGAGAAGGTCTCAGTTTACAGCTGCAGCTTCACACCTCGATGTGAAGGGGACAAATCAGGAGGAGACACGTTTGAAGGAGAAGCCAATGACACCTCAGGAGTTTTCAAATGACCAAAGCGTGAAAAGGACAGTTAGAATTCTCCTGCAGCCGCTTTGATAAGTCACTTTAAACTTGGTCAGAGAACTCTCTATTTTCGAAATACTGTTCGCATTGTATTTCACTTTGTAATTGTATTCCTTATCACTTTGTTTAGTTATTAAATACTTTTTGATTTTTAAATTTGAGCAAGTCTTTTGATTCATTGTTTCCAGCCAGGACGAGAACAAAGGAGTGAGGCCTCCCTCGAGGGCTTTCCAAACCCTAAACACATGCAGACATGACAATAGATATTTGACACACAATCATTCAACATTTTTACATGTTTTCATTTTTATTTGACTGCCGTATAATGGAGAGTTGTTTGATCAAACAGGTCCTAGAAGTGAGTGTAGTTCCTTTGTAAAAGCACATCAGTCAAATAAGCCATGGAGGAGTTCCTAATTTTGATTACGGGAATTTTTAACGGTTAGGCACAGGAGAAACAACGTGTATCGCAACTGTAAGGACTGGCATAATATTTCAAATATTTTGGCTTTCTGATGTTAAAGTGGCAATGAAGACAAATTATTGGTGAGCTGCAAATTATTGCTGCTACCCAACACAATTTAAATGGACATCTAACCCCCAAAGAGTCGTGTTTTACCTGTAGTGCTTTTTATCTATCTTGTTTAAGCGAGAGTATATCAGCGGTAGGGAGGTCTCCCATCTCAAGAAATAACTATATGGCACTCTGCTGGTGATGCTCATGGGTGCCAAAAAAACTGAACAGCAATGTATCTTTTCTGAAATCCTGACCTGGTTACTCAGGATAGTCCACAAGCCTTGTGAGCAGTTCATGTAGGAACTATTTTCTTCCTATAAAATAGTTCCCACATGAACCTCGTCTATGAGTCCAGAAAAAACACATTGCTGTTGAGTTTTTTCAAAAAATGCTGCCACTTTGACCACCAAAAGGAAGTGCTGCATTGTCATGTTACATTAGAGAGCAGACAGACAATTCTGCAGGAACTTTCTCCTAAACTAGGTTCACCAAAACAACCTAGATTGATTACTAGCACTACATGTCAAGGAAAGAATATATACTTCATTGTATTTTGGGGTGAACTGTCCCTCAATATGTTGCCAGCACCCTTGTAACCACGTATCTCCACAGTTAACTAAAGAAACATCACCAGTCATTTCATCGTAAAACAAATTACAGATTCTGTAAAGCAAACTTACAGTATTGAGCAAGCAAAACCAGAGATACCGGCACAAAACAAACTGCCCAGGAGGGGGCACAGCTGGTGAAAACAAAAAAGGGCTGAACATTGATAGTGTGAAACTAAATGAAACACAAAAAAATCCATCTGTATGTTGAGTCTAACACAACGCTTAAATACACATTCCCATTTGTGCATTTAAAATGAAAACATCACAGTTCTATGTACGTTTTTATACAAATATTGGATAAGCGACACTTGCTCAGGACGACGCCCAACTGGCTGCAGATAGGAACAAGCAAGTCACAAAAGGGGAAAAGGATTTAGTTTTCCTTTGTCCAGCCGAAAACAATCGTATAATTCTACACAGTTTAAACAATATTTGGGCTATTCGCTTTGTTCCATATCTCCATCCCCCCAGTATGCCCCGCTCATCTAAGAGGGTTGACACACTGGTACCTCTCCCCTTATGTAGCGTCAGCCAGTAGTGGTTAGAAACGTAAACTTCAGTTCAGTCACCGATTAACAAAGGCTAAAAGTATTTCTCATTGCACGTCCACATCGCTGAGAAGTTGTCAAAAACAGAGGGTACAGTGAAGAATCGTTTGAGCCTTTGCAAATATCTCTGACATGGTTTAAACGACACAAAATCCTCCATTAGTCACAATACTGTGGTACTCATTTACAACTTGTCAGATTGGGACTTCATCTTCCTCTCCCAAAGCTTTTGATGGTCAGAGAAACCCTGCTTTCCCTTGTTGAAGGAGTTAGGTCCCGCAGATGTTGGTGTCTCTCTAAAAAGACAATGTCACACATAACTTAATATGGAATGTATAATTCACTTTAATAAAATAACATTCAAAAGCGGAATGTTTTGATAGAAACAGGAAAAAATTGTACAAGAGTACAAGATGTATCTGTGCGGTTATACCTGCCAATGTTTTTCATCCTCATCTTTGCTTCCGGGGGCATCTCCTCAGGTTCACTCTGCATGGCATGAGAGAGCTTTAATCAGCCTCTGCAGGATATCTCATATTACCAGTGTGTGGTATCAGTGTGTGCGTATGTGTACTCTTACATCATCTTCATCTTCGTTAAACACAGATGCCAGCCCGGACTTCTTTGGAGGAACTGACGGTGCAGGTTCTTTGGGTTTCTAGAACAGATGGTAGATAACAGACAGAGGGAAATGATAAGCAAACATATTCACAATATGCAAAGTAAAAATATATTAAATGTGAGGTTTTGCAGCTGGTCTTCACTTCATGGATAACATGGATTTTTTTCATCAATGGACTGAATGAACAGTGTTGCAACAACATCGACAATGATGGCAACAAGTCAAACAGCAGGCTATGCGTTTCTGACAGTCCCTTTGCAATGGTGCATACTCACTGTTGCTCCAAGTTTGATGGATATGGGGTTGGACTTCTTCCCCATCTGACTGCTCATGCTAAAACCTATCTTGGAGACTTTGCTGGGAGCCGGAGGGTCCTCTGAGGAATCGTCCTCATCTTCAGGTGTGAAATGCTCAGATGTGCGTTTGACGGTGGTCCCTTCTCCTCCCACAGTGCTACAAGAGACAGGCTTAGTTTTCACTCTGTCCCCCTCCTCCTGCGGCCCTGCTTGAGGCAAGACAACTCAACAAGGTGAACAACAGTTTCCTGTGAACTTGAGAATAATAAAAACGATCACCTTTACCTCTGGGGCTAATGTTACATTTCTCTCCATTAACTAACCACTAGTAACTTTAGTTCCTATCGTTGTATTGTCAGTTAACGGGACTGTGTGTGCAGATACTATGTGCAATGGTATGCTTAGAGTTTAGCTATGTAGATTAAGGTCTGAGAGCAGATAATGTTGACAAGCATATGGTGTCATGAACATGGGCTAACTTCAATTTAAAAATAAACATTAGCTAATTTATGCTAATGCCATGTTAGCAAAGTAACACGGGGTCCTTCTGCTGAAAGACAGTCTTTGCTTTGTACAGCGTCAAAGGTTGGTAACTATAGCACATGGGTTACGCATCAGTTACTCAATCATCACAGCCCAGTGGACAACGTAAACACAAAGTAATACTCCGCGTTACCATTAGCTAGTTAATGGTGCATAACGTTAGCTTAAGCTAGTTAAACTAGCTTAACGTTAGTGGAGCTCTAGGAACGTTTCCTCAAACTAACATTAGCTAGAGACATTTTTTACAGATAGGCAACGATGTGAGCTGACGCTTAATTCTCAACACATTGCTAAATCACATTTTGACGTCAAAACAGCACAAATATCACCTCCGTCTTCGGTGCACCCTTTTCTGTTGTGCTTGTAATCCGCCATAATTTCTTATGTGAACGTTCCAGCTCGTGCCACCACACTCCACCAGCGCTGTGTAGCAGCTTCTTCTTCTTCTTTTTCTTCTTCTTCTTCTTCTTCTTCTGTGGTTCTTAACGGCAGCTTGCTTCTGTGTTCTTGCATCACTGCCATCTTCCGGTTTTAGTCAAATATTGCATTCGACCTACTTTCCCAACCAGTCTCATTGCCCTCAATAAGCCTATTCTTCCCCGATTACTAACGTTGGATCAAATATCATTATTCAGTTTGTAGTAAAACATGGAGGGTTACAAACAAAAATCAGTTCATCTTTACGGTATTGATCAAGGACGTCGAGTACAACTTGATATTTACAAAAATCCGTTTTGTACAAAAAGAGGATGCCCAGCTTGCACGTTTATGTCAAATTAAGTTATGCAGCTGTTTGGGAGGGTCGTTTTTATTTTTTTTATTTAAAAGTGTACAATTAAATCCCGGTCTACACTCCGAAGCAACGGGGGCGGTAATGCACCAAAAGTACGTGTCGCCAGCCTCCTTTACAAGCCAAGAAGAAGAAGCAGGAGGAGGAAGATGGAGAAAAATGACAGTAAGCTAATTTGGTAAACAGACAGCTAGCTGGTAAGAATTAAGACGCAACGCCACTATTTACAGCGTAGCTTTCATATGTTGGGCTTTTTATTGCTGAGATAGTCCATGAAAAAGACGAAGCGATTTGGGCTCACGTTAAAAATGGACGTTTATGTGGCATTTCGGCAGTTGTAGCCTGGACGCAGCTACGCTTATGTTTGATGTTGCTGATGTGCTACGCTAGCTGTACAAGCTAACGTTTGTTGACAGTTTGTTTGTCTTACGTTCCTCCGCAGTCGATCGAATGGTTATCGCGGAGTTTGCTTAAAATAATCAATATTCCAGCTAAGTAGCTTAGCTGAGTAGCATTGCGTTATTTTCTGTATTTCTCTGTCTGTCTGAAGTCTCAAATAACTTCTATGTATTTGTCCTGCACCTTTTCTTTCTGTATTTCTCTCAGGCCCTTAAAAGCTTGTCGTTAAACAATGTCAAGATGGGGCAGACCCTGTGCATATGCTCCCGTGGCTCCATGACCATTGAAAACAAAAAATATTACTTTGTCCAGAAACTAGACGAAGGGTGAGATAACATTTTAACGTTGCATCACTTAACTCCACCTTTACATTTCATTGTGATGACTACATATATTTGTCAATAAGCTATTTTTAAAAACACATCTATAATCCTTACAGTTGCACACATTTCAATGACCATGTTGATTATTTTTATCTACCTCATTACAACTAATGATATCAAGCACTCCAAGTCCACAAAAATACACTATTTGCTCCTCTTTGAGGCATATTTCTGATGCATGTAGTCTTTGAATGTTATAGGAAATCATTTAGTTTTTTCAATAATGTAACTCCTATCTATTGTCCTCTTCCCAGGGGGTTCAGTTATGTTGATCTGGTGGAGGGGGCAAAGGATGGGCGCTTTTATGCCCTGAAGAGGATCCTGTGCCATGACCGTGAAGGGCATCAGGAGGCTCAGACAGAAGTGGAGATGCATCAGCTGTTTAGTCACCCCAATGTTTTGAGTCTGGTTGCGCACACCTTTGCTGATCGTGGAGGCAAGACTGAAGCCTGGTTACTTCTGCCTTATATCCGAGTAAGTTGGTGCAGCAGTTAGTACGACCAAGATAACCCCGGTGAAAAACGGTCTGATTCTGACACAGTGTGTTTGTGTGAACAGAAAGGCAGTCTATGGTCTGTTCTGGAGAAGCTCAGAGACAAGGGGAACTCAATGCCTGAAAAACAGATTTTGCAAATCCTGCGTGGCATCTGCTCTGGACTTAAGGCCATTCATGAAAAAGGCTATGCACACAGGTATTCTATCTTCACATAGACACACATGAAAACAAACATTTGCCAGCGTAAAGACTCTTGGACTAGCTCGTCCTGGAGTCCTTTCCGATCATAATCGTAAAAAAAGGCTCCAATCTATTTATGAGCGAGCAATTTATTAGATTACCTAATCCTTTAACATTCATGCTATTGATTACTCACAAAATTTCCGCTTTAATTTGTTCCTTAAATCAAAAAAGTTGCAGACATTTAAACCCTGTGCATCTGTTATAATTTAACAGAGACCTGAAGCCCACAAATGTGCTTCTGGATGAGGATGACCGGCCGCTTCTGATGGACTTGGGCTCTATGAATCGCGCAAGGATTGAGGTAAATCTATTAAGACTTAGATTATATATTTTAACGATCACTGATGCTATTTATTGGAACCCACATTAGTTCAATTTCAGTCTGAGATCACTTTGTTTTTGATGCAGCAAAACAAAAAGCAGCATGCTGTGTTCTTCGTGAGGTTGGATTGGTGTAAGAACAGAGGGCACAACTTTTTTCCACTATTTTTTTCTGTGATATTAAAAAGTAATCTTGAACGTTAATGTCAAATAATGATTTTTCTGTGGTGAGAAATTTAAAATGACACACGATGTGAAAGCAAGCTGAGAAAAATGGTGGGTCATTTCAAACTAATTCAATTTAGTGAATCCTTTTGCAGCTGAAGTTGGTACTTTATTATCTTTGAAGGAGAGAACCAATTATTACCTCATATTAAAAATACAATGCTAATTAATATCTCAGAATACAGTTTTGGAGGACGTTTCTTAATGCTTCCAGAAAAAGTTGTTGCTCTTGCTCACTTTAGCGCAGAGAGAAAATTAAGTTCGTCATGATCTTTTTACAAGTTTATTTCATCATATTTGTGCTGGCGACCAACCTGCTTTTTGTTTTCTTCCTGTGTACATCGGTGCCTCCGCATGTTTCTTACCCTGTGAGTTAATTTCAGGTGAGAGGAACCAGAGAAGCCATGACCATACAGGACTGGGCCGCCCAGCGGTGCACCATATCTTACAGGGCTCCTGAACTCTTTAATGTAGAGAGTCACTGCATTATAGACGAGCGCACTGATATCTGGGTAAATACTGGCCTTCATTCCTTTTTCTTTAGGGTACCGTCTCTGAAACCAAGTGTTAGTGCTATGGACCCTTTGCTTACAACTCCTTTCTCTTGTCTCGTTTTCTCACTTCTCCAGTCACTCGGCTGTGTGCTTTACTGCATGATGATGTTGGAGGGGCCGTATGACATGGTATTTCAGAGGGGGGACAGCGTTGCCCTGGCTGTCCAGAATCCAGTCACCATCCCACAGTCTTGCAGGTCAGTTATAACATCACCTTGCAAAGTTACTTGAAGAAAGTTTACTTTTACTGCCACGGACAGTGGTTGGAAAAATCCATTTCATGCCATCGTGCCAAGTTTTACGTTTAGTCAAATTAAGCAAATATTCCAGCAAATATCCAATAGGATAAAATCATGAAATGTTGACGTTTTGGACTGGCATGAAGGTAAACTGCAACTTTACTGGTTGGCGGCAACATACAACCTCATTGCAATAATTCTATTCCATTAAGAAGCAAAAATAAAGCCATTGTACTCTGGTGTAGCTGTAGGATGCACTTGTATACTAGAGTTCACATTGCTCACCCGCAAAGTAAAACACCTTTGAATGTGTACGTTTCAATACGTAATCATTATTTTATTGAGTTTGAACTCTTCCTGGAAACCTCACCTTTTTTTTCAAAAATCAAGAGAATTGCTGTTGATCCTGTGATTGGTGCTAATGATGCATAATTGTTTTAGGATTAAACGTTGCTCACAATAGGATGTATAACTAAATGAATACCAAACTTAAGTTCCAAATGGTTTGTTTGTGTGTTTCCTTTTGCGCAGCTACTCACAGGGCCTGCAGATGCTGCTGAGCTCCATAATGGTGTCGAATCCCCAAGAGAGACCAAACGTCAACTGGGTTCTCGACCAGGTACACGACCTGCAGAGTCGCAGCCCCAACACCCAAACCAACGCGGTCTGATCCTGCACGGTGCACTGGATGTGGGATCTCCGAAACCTTTGCACACACAAAAGAACATCTATTATTATGAGCTTTAGTGTAAAAGCCTAAGTGCAGACTTTTAAGTTTGGGGAGCGAGACAATGTTTAGTTTGAATACTCGAATCCAGCCTGCGAATCCCAGTTGATTCTTGTAGTTGACGCGATCTGAAGAATCTGAAAGGCCCTGCAGTATAATATTGATTAATGTTTCTAATAATTACGTGGCTTCACCTTATACCCACTTTTATTTTGTTCAATGTGGAACTGGAGCTAGCAGCCTGTTATATTAGCTTAGCATAACTACCGAGGGTGTGGGGGAAACTGCTAGCCTTCTCACACTCTTTGGTTGTCATGTTTGTTTAATCTGTACTAAACCAAAGTGTAAAAAAGGAAGATCTGTGAGTATAATTTGAGTTATTGATCTTTAGAGGGGGCTGGTATTTTGTTACCTAAGCTAAACTCACCATCTGCAAAAAAACAACATATTTATAGTGATTCCTTTATGAAAAAGGAAGAAAAGTAACTGCTTTTGTCTTCAAATTTTAGTTTTTCAGAACTAAGGGGATAACGTAAGTGGTTTGCCAAACTTTCCGCTGTGTGAAAGCTACTTGAGTACATGTCAGATTTCATTCCCTACCTAGAACGAATAGGCTCCATTTCCTTTTAATTTGAATGTTGATCACCTGCAATGCTGCATTGAAACACACAGAGGTGCTGCACCATCACGGTCCCCTGCGCCACACGCGGATGGTTCTGTCTGCAGGAGATATTGTGTCAGTGGGCTCTTTTGTAAAGGACTGCAAAGAGTGTGTTTTTGCACAAAAAGAAAAGCGTCAGTCACTCATACCATCAAATAATAACTTTAGTTCTGTTTATGGAATGTTTTTATTTATAACGTCAAACTGAGACCGTCTGCCATTGCAGTTTGGCTTTCACTCTTCACTGCATCGTCTTTTTAACCGTTCTTCCATTTAGCGCTCTGCTTGTGGTGAATTGTGGATTTCCTGTTGTGTGAGTGTGGACTCATCATTTTGTTCTCTCAGGGTTCACTCAGATGTCAAAGGGCCTGTTAGTCTGAAGCAAGGGACCTAAATGGTACCATTTTATCGCATCGTTAGATAAAATAATACTTTGGGCATTTAAGTTAAGATAAATGCTTTTGTTGTAATGCAGTGATATCGGGAATAACACAAAAATCCTTGGTCGTAAACTTATACAATTAATTGTTGGAATGGTTATTGCTATACGGTTTGATGATATTATCCTTTCCAAGTTTGCTTATGTCTGATGACTATGATTTTTTTGTGTTAATGGCGAGCTAATGCTGATGCAGCTGACAAACATAAGGGTTTCTTTAAGTGTACTGATGAAGTTCAAAGATAATACGTAACCGTGTGTTTCTTGATTATGGAAATGTTTGATCTCTGACTCATTCCACAGTAAAGGTTAAATAAACATTGAATATGTAGCACTGTGTATACATTTTTTTATTATTGTGAAAATAAAACCACATCCTACAGGAGAAAGTACTGGGTCAAGAATAGTAACTGAGTCAATACTTATTTAAATCCTCGGTTTTTCTTAGTCAGCATGATGTATACAATACAGACAGAAGTATTTGAACAAACTAGTTAGTAAAATCAAGCGTACTGCTCTGAAGTCTCCATCGACAAATATTTGCAGTAAAACAGGTTGAACTGAAGACCTCAGTTACATTAATGCGGCAGTTGGATGTATTTTTTTAATGTAAAGTAAATATTTACTCAACAATAACTTCTGTATTTGGAGCTGATTTTGCGTGAAATGTAAACCGAAAATGTACGAAACAATATACTTAATACATATGTTCATTTAGGCACGGTGCTGGTGTAATGGTAGACTACTGCCCTTAATTCCATCACTCCGAGCTAAAGTTGCTGTCAGAATGGGACTGCAGAATGCTGATTACAATCAATTGTGGTCTCTTGATTAGTGTTAGCACATCACTGTCATTTCTTTATTACAATACCATTAAAAGGACTGGTATTCTCTTCAGAATACCATCTAAAAGCATTGATAGCATGAAACTTTAGAATTCTATGAAAGACCTTTGGCGGTTTGTGTTTGTCCACCTGCTGTCGGAAAGAAGAGGCTGGTACCCGTGTGTTAACACTGCAGGAGAGTCATATTGAAGCTTTCACACGGTCGTGATATTAATTAATACTCGCAAGTTTCAAAATATGGATTCCCATCGCTGCCTGACAGCACTCGGGCGCCGTTGACTTCTGTGAGGACCGGGCGCTGATTATAGGATCCATCGACTGGATCAGTGCTGCTTGTAAAAAGGGCGAACTGCATGTAGCTGTAGGAGTTGCGCCAATTCATAACTGACTGTAGTCGATGGATGGCCCATCGATGGACGACTGATTGAGGAGAATACATGCTAATTGATGGAAGTGCAGATACTCATTGATTGATGGATGGATGAATGGATGGAGTGGATGGTTGCTGATGGATGGGTGCTGATTGATAAATGAATGTAGTGGATGGATGCTGATGGATGGATGAATGAATGGGGTGGATGCATGCTGATTGATGGATGAATGGATGCTGATTGATTGATGGATGGATGAATAAATGAGTTGGATGCATGCTGATTGATGGATGGATGAATAAATGAGTTGGATGCATGCTGATTGATAGATCGGTGTAGTGGATGGATCCTGATTGATTGATGGATGAATGGGGTGGATGCATGCTGATTGATGGATGGATGAATAAATGAGTTGGATGCATGCTGATTGATGGATGGATGAATAAATGAGTTGGATGCATGCTGATTGATAGATCGGTGTAGTGGATGGATGCTGATTGATTGATGGATGAATGGGGTGGATGCATGCTGATTGATGGATGGATGAATAAATGAGTTGGATGCATGCTGATTGATGGATGGATGAATAAATGATTTGGATGCATGCTGATTGATAGATCGGTGTGGTGGATGGATGCTGATTGATTGATGGATGAATGGGGTGGATGCATGCTAATTGATGGATGGATGCTGATGAATTGATGGATGTATGAATGAATAGGGTAGATGCATGCTGATTGATGAATCGATGTAGTGGATGGATGCTGAAGGACTGGTGGATGGATGCTGATGAATTTATGGATGGATGAATGAATAGAGTGGATGGATGCGGATTGATGAATGTTTGTAGTGGATGGATGCTGATTGATTGATGGATGGATGAATGCATGGGGTGGATGCATGCTGATTAATGGATGAATCGGGTGGATGCATGCTGATGGATGAATGAATGAGGTGGATGCATGCGGATTGATGGATGGATGGAGTGGCATGAAACACATTTGCCCCTGCAGCATTGTATTCAGTTGTGTGAAAGTGATGGATGGTGGGTGTCGGAGGATCAATAAGTCTCCATATTCTTTTAGTGCCAGCTGAACACTGGTCTAATGTTTTAGGTTTAGGGGTCTCAAACTCATTTCCGGTTCTGGGCCGATGCAGCCCAATTCGACCAAATGGGGTCCAGACCATTACGGTTCATTACTTTCTACTCGCTGACATCCCAAGTTTTGAGTTTCAGACACAGGCCGTACAGAAAAGCGTCCGAAGTGGTCGTAACGGCAACCGTTGGTTTGTAGGCTGCTGTTTTCGAGCCTTGGGTTTTGGCCGTCGTTAACTTGGCTCATTGCAACCATTGGATCTGTAGAGATAGATACCAGTCAATAAGCCTTAGGTGTCCACAGGATTTTATTGAAATGTGTATTCTCACACACCGGCTAATATGATTTTTTGTGATTTGTTTCTGAATAACTTGGATGTAACTGTTAATAGAGAACATAATGTTTTTGTCTTTGTTATGCAGTTTTGCAGTGAATGAGAGATACCCCCACACTGTCAGACCAATCATCTCCCATGGCAGACGAGCACAACCTTCATCCGACAGCACTCTGAGCCTTGGAGGCCCTTCCCTGCATCTCCCTGTGTGCTGGTGTGTGCTTGTGCACACATCCCTGGAAACAAATATGAAAATGCTCATGTAGCGGGATTTATAGCCCCTACGTCTCCCCCAGATCAGTCAGATGTCAGACCCCACTGTCCCAATCACTTTCAAAGGTAATTCCCACCTTACCAGACACACACACACACAAATTACATTAGTATACATGGTCATAAAGTATGCATAACCTACCACATATTTACATTGCATATGCCATTTTATACACAAACATCCTAAGGATTCATTACACTTGAATTAATGTTATCCCAGCTGATTTCTTCCTCCCACCTACAAATCCCAGACTCCCATGGGACCGGGTCTAGGACGGAGCTGGGTTTATGGGGTCGACGTGCGCTCACACACACACACACACACACACACACACACACTCTGTCTCGCACTTTTTATATTCACTATCAGCTGCCTGTGAGGAGCTGAAATGATGTCATACAACGCAGGAGCAAGGTCACCCCAATGTTCGCTTATATTGCAGCAACAATTCCATGTGCTTTTGTTCACATTGGAGCTGGGGGGGACGCACCTGGATCAGATGTACGTTTAATTTTTAGCCCGCCCCCCAGTCCTCAAACGCAAACACACTTACGCTCTCACACCATAAACCATCTGCAGCCTTTTATTGATTTGGCAATGAATCAATTAGTGAATTATTTAATTAGCAAAGCATTATGGGTCAGTGCAGAGCTGGGACCAACCTGCCGTGTTCCCAGGTCTCTTTAAATCATTTTACACGTATGTTTTGTAGCCAATACATAGTGTGAGCAAGCAGTCTTATTGCCGCAAGAATGCCACAAAGTTTTCTTAACGCAGGGCCATCGGACGTGGTTCCTGTGAGACCTTGCAAAGTCGCCCAGTAAAGTTTCGGTTGTTACTTCGCAGACAAAGGCTCCTGTTTCTGCAAAGCTTTTTATGTGCAGACCCAGAACTTTCGCTGTCACTCAAGTCCAAATTAGCCCCCGGCTGCTGCTGGGAGAGAGAGAAATATGGACGTTACGTCTGCCCCGTTGAGTGGATGAGTTATGGCTGTTGTTCCTGATTGACGCGTTCTTTCCGTCCACGGGCTCTTTGTGCTCATTAATTCCTGGGAGTGTTTGGGTTAAAATGCATAATGAGTTCATTAAGGTGGATTGGCGTAATCAGGAAAGGTATCGCCTTAATTACTGGCTCAGGGCCAGACCCGTCCGCTCCCTGTGAGATCGGCAGCCCGTCCCGTCCGCAGAGCTCACTAATTTAATTAAGTGTACAAAATGCTACACCCTAACGTCGCCCTTGGGGGCAATTACGGCACTAGAGATTGAAAGATCTCCACTGGGGGTGTTTTACTTACTGGCAGGAGATTGCCTGTGTCAGTTAGCTGATTGCATTGATTATATTGATTTGTAACAGCTTTTCGGGTAATTTCATCTGCAAAGGTGAGAGCAACACATTGGTCCAGGGACTTTTTTATTTATTCTTTCTTTATTTAGACCCCGGACTCTTTTGCCAAGTGATTAAATGAAATGGAGCTCCACAATAAGTCAGTTAAAGTGGGTGTTGAAGAGGGGGGGGGTTGATCGATAGTTTTTATTTGTCGCAGGAGGTCGGTTGGATATTGTGAATTCTTCTAAAGACACAACAACTCTTTCACCTACAGGGGAAGTGCTGAGGCAGAAAAAGTCATCTCAAGCAAAAGTCGGCCAGAGAGGACAGTTTGTAGTTTAAGTAAATCCCACAAACAGATTTTGTTGTGATTTCTTCACCCAATTCTCAATATTCACTCCTCGATAGAGATGCTTTAGAGTAGAATGTGTTTTTTCAATAGATACATTCTTTACCATCTGACAAAAGTCTTATTATCTAATTGTTGAAATGATGAAGAAAAAATGTTTGAATTTGATCAAAGAAGGATAGGAATCAAGCTATTACCTCATTCCATACTCAGCTTCATTCACACCCACAACAGAAGCACACTAACATGCATGATTATTAAACCACTTGTGTTTTTACTTTTTACCTTTTGATTAGAATGATTAGAACTTTTTTTTATTGTAAAATGCATTACGGGGTTGTGAAGATGTTTCCTCGCAGTGGGTTCAGAGCTGAGGTCTCGGCCCCTGAAATGACCGTTCTGTCAGTGCAGGAGAGAAACGGGGCCCAAGCGATTGGTCGTAATTACAGACACATGACCTGTGCGAAGCATCGCAGAGGCAAAACGAGGCTAATAGTTCCACGAGCAGTTCGTCAGCGCTGATTAAGAGGATGGGATGACAAGATAATCCAGAGGTGGCACGCTCATTAATGGTGGCCAAGGAGCAAATTAGCTGATTAAACGCCTTCCCGCCCAACCAATGGCAAGACGGCAGAAGGGGAGGGGCTTCATGAGTGATGGATGAGGAGGCGTGGAGGAAGTGTTTACGTTGCTTGCCAGAAGAGTTGTCACTGAATGAGTGAAGTGTCTTCATCAATTTGGAGCCATTACCATGTCAAAGGGAGAGGATGGTGCTCGACGAAGGGGTACAGATTGGGGGAGGAGAGGAGCAGAAAACCCATCTGCATACTACACGCTTATTCACACACAAACACACACACACACACTCCTCCAGCCCCTCCCTCCAGGCAGTCCGGTTTACCGTAAGGCCGTTTAATCTTCCTGAAATAGGGCAGTGACAGCTGTGTCATGCTGATGAGAAGCGGCTGAGGAGAGTGGCAGCCTGTCACATCTCATCCATCTCAGCAGCTGGTCCTCTTCCTCCTCCTCTTCCTCCTCCTCCACCTCTTCTTCTTCTTCTTTCTCTCCTTGTGTCTCTCCGTTCTTTCTTCTGAGATGTCAAATGTTCTCCTCAAACAAACGCAGCAGTCCGAGTCTGTTGAGCGGATGTGAGGGAGGGGCATTGATTGACGTTGCGAAAGGACAAAAGTAATAATGGGGAGCTGTTTTTTATTTCACCTGCATTGATTGTTATGGGTCTCTTTATCATCTGACCCGGCTCAATTATGCCAATTGGATAGCGCAGTGACACTGTGAGGTTGTGGGGACAGTTAAATGAAACGCGGAGAGCGAGAAGGAGATTGAACCGCGTGAGTGTGTGTGTGTGTGTGTGTGTGTGTGTGTGTGTGTGTGTGTGTGTGTGTGTGTGAGAAAGGTGGAGTCAAGATGGTGCAGATGAGTGAAGAAATGGCTTGTTTGCGGAATATGCGTCACTTAGGATGTATTACTCTGCAGAGAGAAGGACAACAATTTAAATGTTAGTGATGTCATTTCAACCTGTCAGTCATGTCCCGGTGCAGTAAATGTGGAGCCATTACATAAATGAGATGTTGACATGACCCTTTATATGCATGCATGTAAACACACACACACACAGACACACACTGGTATCTCTTTGCTTTATGTGAATATAGGATTTACATATAAACACAATACATATACACAAATCTGGCTAATCTACCTGAACTCATCGTGTTTGCTTTCAGAAGAAACCCAACCGCGTTGATTTTAAAGTCTGGAACGTCCAACAGCAACAGAATGAATTTCATTTGTCTGTCTGTTTGTTACTCTTTTGCAAATTAATATAAAAAGCAAGAAAAACGTTTCTTAATATTTTCCTGCGCCGCTTTTGCTTTGTGTATTCACATTTGTGGCAAAATGATGTGTTTAAAACAGAGTTTGATGTAAGTGGCGAGCAGCCATTCATACACCAGCATCTGGCGTCAGTACAGGTGTTTCTATCACTGAAACCTGCTGCTGGAACCATTGCAATGTGCTCGAAGTAAACACACCAATAATATCTACCATTTTTATGATAGATGTGACTGATGGCGTCTACACTTGACATTTATCCCTTTGTACTTGGTGTTAAAATAAGAATATCACCAAAACTCAAAATGCACCCAGAAAACTAACACCCCAGTTAAGAACTACAAAAATAAAAAAGTTAAACTGTATTTATTCTTCTGGCTTGCGCAGATATCTGCCCACACACAAGCACGGGTAGCTGTGCGTACATGCGAGCATGCCGGTTCATGTGTAACCTTCACAAACAGTGGACTACGCCTCGGCCCGTCCGCTGTATTAATGATGCCAGCTGCTTTGATGCTGTCAGCCAGACGGATTACCCTGCTCTTAACCCGCTTTTGAACTCGACGTGCCACACAAAAAGACAGCTGTGCGCCTTCGCACCAGTGCAAATACTTATTCACAGTAATGCTACTTTATTCAGCGTCATTACTCCACAAGGGACAGAAGGACACATTTATTTTGAGTCAGCATTTAGATCATATGCCGCTCGCACTGAAAACAGGCCGGATTAGAAGGTCAACAGCGCAGCGAAGGCGTACACAGTTGAGAGGGGAAAAGCATCATCATCCTTTTTCGATTAGCTCAACGGACCTGGGAAAGCAAATACAGTTATAGTAACAGAACAGATCAATATGAGGAACGTTTTGCACAAACACAAAAGGTCCTGTTTTGCACCGAATGTACATGGAACCAATGGCTACTTTTTTACCACAACTTCTAATAGCGGAAGACTTTGATCAACTTCCTTGCTGTTTTTTTTGGTGAATTTTGTCTTTAAACCCTAATTTCCTAACTGCCTTTCACCTTTTCATTGTAAGAGGCAGTAAAGATGGAGGTGGGACCTCCCGTCAGTTTAGAGTACGGTTTCCATTCGTCACTTTGCCGTGTACGGAGCTGAGGTGGGAGATGCAGGCAGTAGGAAAGGGGGATGCTGGGTGCAGATGCATGTAGTGGTAAAAGGTCACAGTCTCTCTTGCCGTAGGAGGGGAGGCGGTTTGTGAAGGTGTGGCTGGGTAGGTGGAGGGGGCGATTTAATTAGAGCGAGTGCCTGCATCCCCCATGGTCTCCTGCTCCGTATTACCGCTTGCTGCCAAGGGTTAACCGGCCTGATAAATGGGATCATCACACTTGTACACACACACACACACACACACACACACCTACCTGTGCTGTAGTGGGAATAACTATGGCCTGTTTGATACTAGATAATTGGATACAGATATTCAAATAGTATGTTGCCTGTAACTAGTCTCATTAGAGGAAATGTCACTTTCTTGTTTCTTGTTCTTCCGAGTTTGTACCCCTATGGTTGAAATGCAT